ATAATATACTTGTGTGGTTAGTCATCTATGTTTAGCAAACATAAAAAGTATACCATATTAGTAAAAGTTTGATTTGGATAGTGTTTAGTTTATTAAATAGTTATATATAAACATACCATAAAAGAGTGAGGGTTTCTACATCTAACCCCAATATTATTTTAATCACAGACTGTAGAAAACTATTAAATTTCAGTCTGGAACTTGCACATATGCTTTGCTAAACTGGCACCTAGAAAAAGTGTTTATATAGAAATTCCAGACACCTTCTGTATAACGGTGCTGTGAGTAAAGCAGATGCTTTTTTTGTTGTTTTACCAAACATTTCTGCCATATGTGGATACTTTAGTTACTCGTAATCTTTAGAAAGAGTATCAATGAGCAACTCTTCTCCTCTGGCTCTTTGTTTTCAGCATCACCAGGTATCTTTCTTAAAACCTGCTATTATGTCCTGGACACATGAAGCAGACAGATGCTTTTCCAAGAGGCAACTGGACTTCTTGTTTTTCTTTGAAGATGTTTCGCTTCTCATCCAAGAAGCTTCTTCAGCTCCACTGGAGAAGCTTCTTGGATGAGAAGCGAAACATCTTCAAAGAAAAACAAGGAAGTTCAGTTGCCTCTTGAAAAAGCATCCTTAGGATAACTATGATCTGGATGACTGAGAATCTCCATAGACAGATAGCTAAGCCTCATATCGATCTTTTTAAGTAGAGCCAAACTTCAGGTTTTGGTTGGTTGGTTGGTTGGTTGGTTTTTTGGGGGGGTGATATTCCAATTAATGCATTGTACTTTACAGCGTTGATAGATTTTCCCTACTCCACTGCCATCCCCTCATAAAAATATGAGCTATTCCTAAGGCTAGGGATGGTTCCCTCCTAGAAATATTTGATATTGAACTTTCCATTTTCCCCCAGTCAAACTATATGGTGTGAGATTTCATTAGTTTGCCTTACTTTCTGGAATTAGTACGTAGCAAGAATATAAATACTGCTTGGAATACTTCCTCTGCAAGAGCCACATTGGGAGCAAATGGCAATAAGATAGAAGAAGGAATTAATTATCTTATATAATTTTCTGTCTCTTTATTTTTATTGGTTGTCAGAAATGACTAATACTAGAAGAGAACATAATTGAGAATGTAATAGAGGACTATCCAGAGGTTCATATTGGGTGAACATCAATATCTCACTAGTAGCACAGAGACCAGTTTGAATGGAGTGAGGTGGAGATAATTTATCCCAGATTTGTCTCTCTGAGTTTTTCTACAAAACAGCAGCCAAATTTAGGACCAAATGTAATAATTCCAGTCAACTGTAATGCTAATTACCTTTATCAGATGTATGAATATGTATATATGAAAATAGGTATAATAACTGAATGAAAATGATTGAAATTTTTAGTTGGAGAAGGTTATAGCGTGAAAATGACTTGGCTTTTTCATTTCCGGAGTTCTACCCAAATATGCAAATAATGTTTTAGTCCATACTCCTCCCCCCCTCCCTCCAATTTAGTGCCCTCCAGATGTAAGATTGTCTGGGACACTACACATCCTCTTCATGACCTGTTTTCCTTGTTACCTTCTGGGAGGAGGCTCCGTGGTATCTGAAGCAGAACATCCAGATTCAGTCACAGTTTTGTTCCATACAGGATTAACCTTGTGAACTCTAAAGCTTCCTCCTTCCATTATGTGTTCAAGATGGACAGTGATTAATATTTATATGTTACTTATATGTAAGGGTATAGGCCTATACATATGTTGTATATAGTATATTTAAATGTATGTTATGTATGTGTAAATTTTGAGAGCAATCAACTAAATTTCATTTTTAATGTGTGCCATGTGCCCACAGTATAAAATGACAATAAAGGTTATCTATCTATCTATCTATCTATCTATCTATCTATCTATCTATCTATCTATCTATCTATCTATTTCTGTCTGTCTGTCTGTCTGTCTGTCTGTCTATGTATTGGTGAGTATAGTGTCTACATTTCCAGGTGGCTGAAAATAATGATCAGATTCCAAGAATTTAGAGAATACTTCAATCACTGGGACTGTTGGTAAAAAAATTTAGCACTCCATGAATAAGCATATAGATTATTGCTTTGCATAGTGATGGGAAGCAAAACTCCATAGCATCTGAAAACCCAACACAGAATACAAATAGTCATTTTATAAGATAGAGCTTTTCTTAGTAGAACATGTGTCAATTTCCATTATTTTTATGCAATGCACCATTAACTAATAAAGCACTAAAACTGAGAAATCAATAAAACCATGCCAAAAAGTTTCCAGAAATTCTTAGAATTTCTAGGGAAACATTTCATTACACTTGAACCATGCTACAATATGTATCCTTTCAAATCTCACAGTGGGATTTCAAGAACAAAAGACGAGTAAAAGTGTCAGTAATTGATGGATATATCAAGTTGGGGGGAAACCAAATATTGTACACAAACATAGATCTTATGTAAAATCTTGGCAAATTTAACCCCATTAGCTAAAATTAATCTTAATAAAGGCAAAAATTATTATTGTAATTGAAACTGGCACATAACGTCTTCAGGCTGAGAAGTCAGGCTGAGAAGTTCCCAGTTTAAGAACGCCCTGGTTTAAGGGTGTCTCTTAGTTAAGAATGAAGTATTGTAGTAGAACTTGAATTAAATTCACAATGATTCAAGTTAAATACACAATGCTACTTATACAATATTATAAAATAATACTTACATATAAACTTGACTTAAGGGCAGACCTTGGGAATGGAACTCATTCTTAAACTAGAAAACTACCTGTATCTCTTAGCCTGGGTTTAACATTGTAATTTTTTAAAAAAATTGCAGTATTTAACTTTGTTCTGTCACACATAGCTTCATCCTGTCAGTATTAGGATAGGCACTATATCATATAAGGTGGTTAGTGGGTTCGGTGATTTGTCTATTGAGATACTCACATTTGCATTTTCAGTTTATATAGCTCATTTCAGCTAAAAAAACCTAATACCTAAAAAAGCTTACTTTCTGTTAAAAAAAGTTAAATTTTGTACTTTGGATGTAAATTCATAGTCATACATGCTTCCTTATTTGGAATTATATTGACATTGGAAGGTAGATATATTTATGCATGGTTTAATTTTGGCCCCATTAATTTTAAATCAGCGGTAAATTTAACATCAGTCCAATATGAGGAGAAAGTGAAGTTGAGAACTGAGAAAAATATTGCAGTTTTCAGCCATTTTTGAGATAAGCAGGGGAATATTCTCCCTAGCAGGAGTAGGAGTTTCAACGGAAGCCTTCTCCTTACTTGACTTGAGTGGAAGTGGAGGTTGGGGGAATTATGGAGAGGAGTTTCAGAGGAGTTAAATTTGATAGTTGGCTTATGGATAGTTAGACTGGTGGCTGTGTAGTGACATCAGAGCAGCCACGGGAATGAGTGTAATGTGACTGATTAGTAAGGAATTGGGGTACTAGAACCAGGCGCCATCCACTGTGATGATGAATGGAATACAAGAGAATGGTGTCGACAGGAGGAAAACTGCATTAATGTGGTGATATACTGAGAGAGATATGGCAGAAGATGGAACAGGCTACCTTGTGGGAATGGATGTCTTAGGCTACTTTTGACCCCTACTTTTAATCTGGGAAATCATGTTTTAGTATGCCTTGAACTAAATAAACTTCTTTGAAATCTTGCAATATTTCAAATATTTTTTGTACAATGCCTGAGATAACTTTTCAGGTATATTATATGGTTGAATTCAGAAATTATGTTGGTGCCTGATGTAATACATGATAAACAACCACATAAGTAGTTAAAAGAAAAACCAAGGAAAGAAAGATAAAATATAGTATTATTATTGGGTGACTGAAAAAGATGAGGGTGAGGATAGATTATCTTGTATTTGTAAGAGAGTGGTGATCTTTGCACAGTAATAGGAATGGATTTTGTTATGCAGATGTAGTGACCTCTCGTTCTTTAATTTTGCTGAGTTTCAACCCCAGCAATTTCAATCAGTATAATCAATTAAAAATATTGGGGACTATATTAAAGAAGTAGGAAGCCACTAGTTATTCTCCTATGTTATTTCATCATATGTAGTTCAGTTGTCTTTTTTAAACAGAAAAAACATTGTAAGAGAACAGGAGGAATTTCTTCAAGAAACTCGTGTACTTTCAGAGAAGTTGAAAGTAGACCCAGAACATTTCAGTGCTTTTCTCTTGCTATTCTCCTTCATTAATGTATTAAGATGAACATAAATCAGTTGAACATAGAGGAATTTCCAAACATTCCAAATAATGCTTAAATTACAAAGACCAAGACTTCTTCTGTTGAGTTTGACTACTGGAAATGTCTATGTAGCTTTCTTCAGCAGCAACATGAAATTATTTTGCCATGTCTATCTTGTAAGATTTTTGGAACTTTCCTGTTTATCCTGCAGCACTTTTCTGGTTGTCTATCCAGGTCTGATCTTGTTTAGCTATTTTAAAATCAGCTAAGAATGACTAGGTGCTACCCTCTGCTAAGATGGGATACACAAATTTTTTAACATCTGGGTACCTTTTTTAAAAAAAGAAAAGAAAAGAGCCACTTACTGGATATACAGAATATAAAGCCCAGGAACTTGAAATGTGATTTATTCTGTATTGTCAAAACAGTTGAAAATATTATAAATTGCATACGAGAAAGTTTAAAACCCCTCCATATTACCATCTACTTCATTGCTTGAATTGTTATTATATATATATTTGGAATTAAGACAATTTAATAAACGCAAACGTGACACTATCCAGTTCTATAATTTAAATGTTGATTTTGCCATAACACAGAGGAACAAGCCACAAACATCTTTGAAAAATATTCTTTCTCTCCCAAATCTGAATCAAGGTTCCATAGAGAATATTACAAGATAATGTTTTGCAGTATTGTGCCTGCATGTAATTTTATAATTTTAATTAATTTTATAATGTGACAAACATAACTTTATTTCCTATGTCTTGAACTTTAGACTACATCCCACTCTATCAAAATCGACAGAGAGGCAACTGACCTTGAAAAGGGCAGAGGAAAAGAAAAGCACAGATGACCCCGAAGACCTGTTTGATGATATCTGATTTTTCTGGAAGAAAGCTACAATTTCACTACAAGTTGCTAAAAATGCCATCAATTATCCCTTCCAAAGAAACTATTTTACATGTAGCAGTGGAGGGAGTTATTTGTACTGTAAAATAATATTCAACTACTGCTTTTTCATTTGTAATAAAGGTTGTACCCATGAATCACTAACAGTCAACACTTTCCATTCAAGGTGTTACAGACTTCAAGAAGTTTATCTGCCTCCAGTTAATGTGAATGAAAAAAGTTAATCTATCCTCAGGATTAGGAAGGACAATTAGTAGACCATCAAAATGGCAGCAATAAAAACTGGGAAGAAAGATGGCAGAAAGGTGTCTTGAAATCTCTATAGTGGCTTTATGAGTAACAAAAATATATTTCCCAAATTGAGAATAGATACAGTGACTTATCCATCAGACAAATGTTTTCTTTCTGTTTGATCATCGCTTTTAAATGTCTAAAATGAAGTCTTCTGCTGCAAAGTTATTTTCGGCCTTTACTCCATTTACTTCTGAGTAATGGTCCCTAGCAACCCTTGTTTTGAGAACAAAAGCAGTGACCCACAACTTCTACCAGCACTCTTGGATATCAGAAGCAAGGGTTTCTCTGACATTTTAGAGATAAAGCAATCTGTTGTACATTGTTTTACATTTTGAATTGGAGAATTCTTATAGATAAATAATTGAACAATTCAGTAATTGCCATAATATGCCATTTTGTCCCCGGTTTTATACCTGGGAGCATTGAATTAAAACTCCCAGAACTCTCAGCCAATGAGGGAATTCTCCCAATTTTAAATCTAGGAGATTGGGGAAAGTCTGCACAAAACTTTGAAAAAAGCTTATGATAATAGAGTAATTGTTAAGATTGGAAATTAAGATTGAAAATATTCACGTTCTGTTCTCAGCTATCAAATATCACTATTGGATAACTTTGGATCAGCTGCCATCTGTCACCAAACTAATTTCACAGGATTGTTATGGATTTAAAAAAAGAACTGATGAAAGTCTGCTATGTATATTTTCTTGATCTGGAGCAAAAGTAGGATTATAAACTAATGAATAAGAAAATGGGCACATATGTATGCAATTGGGACCCTGGGAGGCACTTGACAACATGTGCTTAATGACATCATGCAAATTATATAATTTACATCTTGGTTAATGGCATTTGTTCATCAACCTTTGAAAGTGACAATGACACTGAATGAGGAGACTTATGGCTAGTCCTTGAAGTTGCATTGCAGCATCTCTGTGATTGCATGGTTTTGATTTAGGCACTTAGCAGTAACTAGCTCACAGTTATGAAAGTTGCCTCTTGTCAATGTCATGTGCTGTCCATTTGCAACCTTCACTGCCAGCTTCTGACAAATGAAGTCAATGGGAAACCTGGTAAGAGATTGCCCAGGGCAATCATATGATACTACACCAAATGACCATGTGGGATTTGCCTAAAGGCCACAACTGAAATTTAGGAATGAAGGCAAATGTATGTGTCCCAAGATCTTTCATTCTGGTGAGAGAGGAATCCCCTGAGGATGGGCTCTGGCATGGGTCCGAAAGCTCGGAAGACTAAATCTCTGGTCCCAGTGACTGACCCAGATTGGATCCTACAACAACCGAAATTGCTGAACTGCCATAATTAAGATGGTATAGTCATGTGACATCACACTTTATTACCATGTTATTTAGCAACAGAGCTTCCAATCCTGACTAGCTAATTGAGAGCTACCTGTTCTCATAGCCCATGTATGTAATTGGGACAATTGAGCAATGATGACATCACACCCATAACATTTGATGTCAACATACTTAGTTACAGAAATCACTAGGAACACATGCCAAATTAGAAATCAAAAGCATGTGGGAAGCCATTAGAATCCAGATTGCCACAGAATTGAGACTGTTTTATTCTGGGAGCTTAAATTTAATTTGTAATATCAGTTGGAAGGATATTTATCTGCTTGCTTTCCAACTACTTTTACAATGTATGTGACCTTTGAAAAATTGCCTTAACCTCTCATATAAACACAACCACAGGGTTTTAGTTCAAGTGTTCTGCTGTGGAAATTATTCTAGTGTTAAGTATTTATGCGAAGTACTCCGATAAGAAGTAATTTTAGATCATTTTAATATTTTCTAATTAAACTTTTGTGGTGTTCTTTTTTTTGTCCTATAAGCCTTGAATTTCCTTTCTTCTCTCCCCCCAACTAAGCTTATATGATCTTTTCTTTCTTTTAACAAGACAATTAAAATACAGTTCTAACTATTAGCTTTGGTTTAATGGTAACCTGGAGATAGCCCTTAATGGAGCAAGCTAGTTTTTAAAAATGGAATGCAGAAAGCAATTGCTTTGAAAGAACCATCCATGAGAACAAAATATTGTCTGCAAAAACATTGTTTTTTATGGAAAGGACAGTATGAAAATAACCCCTGCTTCCTATAATTGTCCTCAAAAGTTTCTTGGAATAAAAAGTAATTTAGACAAGTAGCAAGGAAGGTCAGCTATTTGGCTATTATTATTGCCTATCTGGAGCATGGGAAAAAAAATATCCTGTGTATATGAAAAAAGAAAAGGAACAGATCTCCAGTTTTCTTTTAAGAGAACTGGCTTGATCACATGATTTTAACTTGATTCCAAGAAACTAGCTACGATTTAAAGAATTTTAGCTACAAATGGGACTTTTTATTGTATTGCATACAGATGTGATATTCTAACAACATAACACTCTGAAAAAAAGCATTATTTAATCAGAGATGTTACTGTTTCATTATGAAACATAACTAGTAGTAAAGAGGTAATTACCCCACTTCTAGAATTCTAATCTGGTAGATTACAGGTCAAGGATAATTGGATCCAACTAGCAGGGCACTCTAAAGCGCTGCCCAGTTTCAGAAAGAGGAGGAACTAGAGAAGCTATAAGCCACATTTTTAGTATCTTTTTAGTAGCTGTGTTAAGGTTTGCAGAGAATGCTTTCCTACTTTGAGATACTGAAGTTTTCCCAAGATGGCTATCAATAATGAAATCTCATACCAAACCAAACCAAATATAAAACTGCAACCATTGATAAATCCATGAACCTAGCATTGGGTTACTATACCAAGTACTAATGAGTGCAATTAGGTTCATATAAACTAATCATCTGATCTAAGTGCCTTGCTTCCACCAATGCTTGGGCAATTGACTTGGGCAGTACATGTGGACCTTATCATAATAATTCTGAATGTCATTTATGTATGTGTAATTTAGTGCATGTTCTCATCTTTTCACAGAGAGGTACTGCTGGCATATTTGTGTAATAAAGTCATCTTAGATTGCCATAATTATCTGCGATAAAATGGGAGCACTTCAAACTGATTATAAGTTTTTTTCATAGTGACAGCACTCCACAGTTAAGACTGTCCACTGCCCATGGTTTCCTGCTTAAAATACCTCCATCATATATGGATTGAGTTCTGTTTCAATCATTATTCTATAGAAATGGAATAAATAAATTATTTTCAGTTGCCAATGTGTACAATTTATAATTGTTTTTGTGTTTTTATATTTTTAATTATTGTGACATTGTTTGCCACTCAGAGTCAATTTGAGATAGGAAGCTATAGAAATTGAATGAATAAATAAATTCCACAAACAATCGCTACATAAATCTCTCTCAGTGTACTGTCCTCCAGATGCCTTTGAACTGTAGTTTTCCAACCAAGCTGTTCTAGGATTAGGAATTCTGGGAATTGTTCCAAAACATTTTGGGGATAGTTCTTGAGAGAGATTACACTAGCAGTTGATTTCAGAATTTCCAGGCATGATTGGACCACAAGCTTTAAATTTTAAAATGCATTGCAGAAACATGTTCTCTGCAATCTTGAATACACCCTTGGGAAGAAACTTGGATCTATATGTTTTTGAACACTGAATTTGACCAACTACCATACATAATGCTTTTCTGGAAATTGAAAGGAAATTATTTTTCTAAATAATCTCAGGCACAGATGTTAAAACATTAAAAATGAGTGAAAGAAATTTAAAATTTAGAACAAAACTCTTGAATCTGTGAACTAATAACCCATTGTAATGATACAAGTCAGAATGTTTTTCTTGACCTTAAGTAGTTGTTTCATTTCTAGAATTAAAAAGACGGTTCCAAGAAACTTTATGTTCTGGTGCCATTAAACTTTCTGTAATTAAGCACTGGGTGTTTGATGATGACTGCTGGAGTTGCCTAGCAACATTAGCAATGCAGTGATTCCCCTTTCACTCTATCGTGGAAAAATGAACACTGCATGGGAAGCAGCAGAGAAGATAAATTCCAGAATCTGGATACTTTCAGCAAGAAAAGTTGCTGTGCCAAATGATGCATCATGGAGTTCCTTAACTACTGTATAGCTATTGACAAAGAGAGGCTGCTACTAGTTATGAAATCATAGGTTGTGTGTCTAGACATATTCAAGTGCGTATGCAAGAATCATAAATGTTGAAGATCAGCCTTTTTCTAATCTTCAGCTGTTTGAGATTGCAGCTCCCATCATTTTCAGACAGCAAAGTCATCGGTGGAATTATAGTTCAATGTATCTGGCTTGTACCACATTGGGACAGCTCTTGTAACAGAAGAAGAAATGGCAGGAAAATAGTTTATTGTCTTCAAATATATTTGCCACAATAAATCAGATTCTTTGCAATAATATTTTTCTTAGATGTCATGGGATCATTAATCTTTTTCCTGTTGAAAATAAGCATAAGTACTCTTTGGGGTCTGAAGGATAGCAGGTTAGGGAAAGCTACCTAGATCTTCCAGTTTTTCTCAAGCATTAGCTCCTAATGTAGATTTTCTCCATGACCTGCCAATGTTGTACTAGTAACTTTTAGAGTGAAAGAATATGACAAACCCTATAGCTATACCCCCACTGCCATTTCTTCATTTTTTCTGCCCTGGAACCAAATTCTTTCAGGGTGGCCATTTCTTTTTAATGTAATGTGACTCTCTTGCACTGCGGTCCCATTTGCATATGTAACAACAGTACTTAGTATATCTGAGCTACATTCCAAAAAGAAGAGTCATTACTTTTAGTTCTTCTCCGATATTACAATTGTACTTGGTATACTCGATGTGTTTTAACAAAGTTATATGTTTCCATATGTTTCTTTCATGTGTGCAGCATAGCCAACAGATACTAAGGGCAAACACTACCATTGTCATAGCAAGACAGCCTTGAGGCTTAAAACTGATGAATCAATAAAGGCACACCATTCTAGTAGGTTATGCTGACAACCAAAAGCTATGAACAAGTGGTCAATATCAGTACAGAAAATGAGGTTGTCTACCTCTACAAAGAGATTTATTAAATCATCATGATGACTTCAAAAGACTGAAATTTTTATACCTGGTGATAGCAAATGCCATCCTGGCAGTCTTGAACCCAGTAGTTCTGCATTTGATTTTAACAAACCTAAATCCCTGACCAGGTAGTTTAATTCTGACTGTGCTATGAGATGAGGCTCATCAGACAAACACAGTTCAAAATCCAGATCATTGTCACTGTCCATGCCTGGCTGGTGCACTGCAGCATTTTAGTCTGTTTCATCTAAGTTCTGTTTCTTTGGTGGCTTCGGCAGATTGGCAGATTGTCATTATGTGACACTGGTCTCATGGCTGAAGGCAGATTGGGGTATTTAACTGATTTCTTATTTACAGCAGAGAACTAGAGATATTAATCAGACAGAAGTAACAGTCTGTCTCATATGCTTATTCTGTTCTTGCCAAATCATTGGAACAGCAAACAGCATTGACTTCTGAGTTCCTCTGAGTCAAGATCTAAGATCAACAGCACCTCTTGCACAACCCATGTGAGGAGCCCTGACCTTGTCTTGATCACCCATCATATAACCAAGTTACAGTTCGCATGCTTTCTTAATGAGTCCAGTTGTGGTATGTCTTTGAGGCTTAAGTGTGTATTTGCCACAAATGCAGCAGAACATATCATGTTCTGACATTGGTGAGACATTTCTGCTGCCACTAATTGTCCAATAGCAAGTCTATAACAGGCTTACTTGTTACATGTACATAGACAGTGCTATGTCTTGAAACAATCACAACAAAATACATGAAAACTGATATCAACAAACTGAGCAGCATCTGTGTAGGCGAACTGCTTTTATAGCCTTTCCAAATAGCATCCATCCAACCTAACCATGCCTAGAATGCATGGTGGGATTCAAATATGTGAACAACCAGTTCTCTGTGTGGATGCCGCTTCTGGAAGTCCATTCTGGGCCTGGGCAACAAAAAATTAACTACCGGTTCTGCCAAACTGGTGCAAACTGGCTGAATCCCACCACTGCCCAAACTTACCATTATGCAACATGTGCTAAGTGCACACCTGGACATACATGAGCTACACTCTTAAGACACACACAACACATCTTATAAGCAAGCAAGTGAAAATTAATTTAAAATGTGTATAAGAAATTGCAAAAACAGATTTCTATAAAATGGTATGTGATAGATTAAATAACAGGTTATTTTCATGATTAGCAGCAAAAAATCTATACCATACACCCAAAAGTATTCAGGAAGCAAAATCTTTGTTGTCCTATGAAATAAACAAACTAGATTGGCTTAACAACATTATGCTGTGGCCATACATATTTGTCTCTCTATATACACACATACGACTAGACATATGCATACACATATGTATGCGGAGTGAATCAAGTCAGGCTCCAAAGACAATTTATTATATCAGTTACACTGTTGGAATGACTGCCATTTATTTACCTTTAACCCCTGAACATTCTTAAGTACAGTAACATTTTCTCTGGAAAAAATATTAATAAACTTAATAAATACCTGTGATTGGCCTAAAGCAGGGGTAGGCAACCTTGGCTCTTTTATGACTTGTGGACTTCAATGGCTGGCTCAGGATTCTGGGAGTTGAAGTCCACGAGTCATAAAAGAGCCAAGGTTGCCTACCCCTGGCCTAAAGTGTCTGACTTTTGGTATACCTTGTATGTGTGTATGCATGACTATATTCTCATTTTATGACATAAATAATAATAAAATGTAAAGCATTATTAATACCTCATCTTTTGTCTCAATAAATACAGTTAAAGCCATGCAGTGGCGGACAATGGGTATTATTTCTGTTCTGACAAAAAAAAGTGCCAGAATTTTCATTCACCGTGAACAGCAAAATTGCTTTTCAAATTTTTGTTTTTATTTATAGCCCTTTTCTCATGTAATGAGAAACTTATTAGAAAGAAAAGAAGTAGAAATAAATCCTTAGTTTTATATTGCATGATGTGGAAATAGCTGCTCTTCAGATAACATGATGAGGTCCAGAAATGCATAGTTGAAGCATAGTAACTTTTTGATAAATTGTTTAGTGGCTTTTAATGGAAATAACTGTACGGTAATATACAATAGCTGCTTCTTTCACTGTCCTTGATGGGCAGTAGAAAACTGTTGCAAATTGGCAGTCTTCCAATCAGGTTAAATGTATTCCTTATTCACATTTAACTTTGGGAGGCTGTTAAACAAGGTGAGTCATTCTGATTTATGACAACTATTCAGCAGTGAGGTGAAATATGAACTTATCTTGATACATAGTTCACTTGGAGAATTGCAGAACACAATGCAGTGCTTTCCGCTGAATTAACCTTTTTTTTTTTTTTGGTAGCCAAGACAATCTTATTCTTTCCCTGAAATAAACACAATGTCTATTAAGGTAGGTTGATGAAAGGTTCAATAAGAATAAAAAACCAACCAATCAGAAAGATCACAATGTATGATAGTGGAAATATACTCTTCCATCTGTTTCCATGTGTCCTAAGGATAATGAGGCCAAGGAAGCTTGGCTAATTGGAGCTGACAGCAATTCATGATAGAGATATGTATCAAATAAGGCAAAAAGGTTGAATAAGCACTTTCTAAGCTCGGATAAATACCACATATCACCTAGTGCCCTCTGCCCCAAAGCTTTGGGTGTGATTCTCAGAGTTTCTCCAAAAGTTGTTGCTGAACTGTAATTTTGGATATACTAGAAAGAGAAAATTATTAACTACATGGGAGGTAAGGTGATCATATTAATTGCCTTAATTTGATTTAATTTAACCTTGAAATGAAATTAAATCAAACCCAACCTTTGTGCTGCCTTTGTCTTGATTGTAATCCCCAGCATGACATGCACAAATGCACTGAGCCTCACATACATACACACTGCTTTACATATAAATAGGGATGAACCACAGCAGTATGTTCCAGTTAGATTTTTGCATTCTAAAATGCATTTCCAAATAGTGGAAAGAGTATATCAGAAGGAAATAGTTTCATAATCACTAATGAATCATTTTTTAAAACAAAAGTTTATCCCTTCTTTGCATTAGAATAATAATTTTTGCATTTCCATGGGAAGACAACTTCTTTTTCTTCATTGATGTGGTAATTAATATAACTGTAAAAAGAACAGGAAAAGATTTACTAAGATGTACTTGTTTATTTAATTTATTTAATAAATGTATATGCTACCTA